GTTGACGAAAGTGTGGCCGTAAGAAGTAAATACGGTCGAGGTCGGCCGGTACCCACCGTTTGGATGTTCGGTATGTACGATCGAAACCTTAAAAAGGGATACTTTCAAAGAGTGGAGAATCGCTCTGCGGAAGTGTTACTGCCCATTATCCAACGCTGGATACGGCCAGGAAATACAATATATATCGATCAGTGGGCTGCATATAGATCTTTGTGTTCCCTTGGTTACATTCATATGTGTGTTAACCACAGTGACGGTTTTGTGAACCCCATTACAGGAGTGCACACAAATAATGTGGAGTTATTTTGGAGTCATATCAAACGACGATTGAAAAACGTCACGGGGTCAGTCGGTGATGTTATATGGGAACATTTGGATGAGGTTCGGTATATAATGTGGTTCAATTTTTCTATACAAACATTTGATAATGACATTGACGTTTATTTACAACATGTAGCGCAATTATATCCATGTTAAATACAAATTGATATCAATTTGCAATGTTTTTCGTTTATTAATTCTGTTTCTGTAGAACGTTGTGTTACATTTTTACTACTCTTGAGTAGCATATTTTTTATCAACAAAAATTCCTGTGGGGGTGACGGGTGGTAACGTGAGCCTCAATCTAGTCGTGAGTACCTATTTTATATATATTTGATACTGTAATTATTTATAGAACCACGTTCAATATTATTACTGCTGCCCAAAGCCGTTTTTTTCCTGCCCAGACCGTGCGTTTAGTCTAGATTCACAGGATCGCTGTTTACTGCTAGCTATCGTCGTTAGACTTAGCTCATTTGTAATATCTTACGCGTCGTTTTCCTGCAGTTAGCTGTGCATTGTTCACAGAGTCCTTAAGCGCAATTCAAATTTCGTCCTACGTTATATCTGTTATCATTCCCGTAACAACCCATATACACACCGCTCACAGGAAACTGCGATCGAACGGAACAGAGAGAGAAACTCACTTTCTTTACCGCGAACCAGCGCGCCAACTTGATTAATCATAACTACGGATTCCGTGCCCGTTCCCGCTCCGTTGTCTGAGTCGGACGAACCCGGATCATCATCGCCGGCAAAATAGTGTTCAAAAAAGTCACCTAAATCTTCTGAGTCTGAGCTGTCACCGGCTTCCTCTTCATTTGGTGCGGGAAGAACGCGTTCGGGTTGCACCACGGAGGCGGTAGATTCCGATGAAGTGGGGGGATCCACCACAAGCATCACTGATAATGACGACGATGCTGGACATGAACTGTCTGTCGGTGTGACCGTGGGATCGACCAAAGTGCAAGCCACTGAGGAGGCGGAATCTGTGATGAAAAAATGGAGGCAGTAAGAGTAAAATGCTAACGATCAGGCACAGTTGTTCACGTAGAAAACTGAGATGTCAGACGTAATCAAGATAAACAAAAGAACAGAGTCATCATGACATAAGCACGTTGAAGTGTCATGATTTACGCTTAGCTCTGGGCAACTTTAATATACGAGAGGGGCAGTCGACCTTACGCTTTCTGGTAAAACGATATAATGTTACCTCCTTGGAGGTGCAGCTCTAACCCTCGCAAATACTACTTGGCGTATTCCATGATGCATTCTAAGGACATTTGCGGCTTTTGACATGGAGTGATCGCTTACAGTCACGTCCTTCGGTAGCGCCGCTAATGATGATTCGTCACCGTCTATTCAGCCCTGCTTTTGACGGTTAACGCCCTGAATGGATCTTCGAATATCAACTACAAGCATAAGCGCGAAATTCCAAAAAGGAAGCAGAGATGAAGTACTCCGTGACTTCCTGATTGATCAGGTATACTTGTTGCACTACGCGGTGAAACTCCTTCAAAACCATAGTGGATTATAGCACACACAGCAAACCGGATCGAGTTCTGAAAAATGGGTCTTGGTCAAAGCATATTTCGTTTTACCGAATGAGCTTCTGATCAAAACAATCCCATTCATCAGCTGTGATATTCAAAAAGCGATTTTCAACAAGGTATACTGATCTTAGACAGAAATCTTTCTAGTTGGTTATTGAACCGTTTATAGGTAAGTTTATAGGATACTGCAGACCCGAGCAAAAATGTAAAAGTAATGGCTGTCCAGGTCGAGGGATGACATAACAGAAATAAACAGTACAGTTGAGAGCACAGAGAATTTGCAGCTTTTTGGTCAGCAGAGGAGAATACCAAAACACAGAGAGAGAGACCACTTGTTGAAGAATGGAATATGATGTTTTACCGAATGAGCTTCTGATCAAAACAATCCCATTCATCAGCTGTGATATTCAAAAAGCGATTTTCAACAAGGTATACTGATCTTAGACAGAAATCTTTCTAGTTGGTTATTGAACCGTTTATAGGTAAGTTTATAGGATACTGCAGACCCGAGCAAAAATGTAAAAGTAATGGCTGTCCAGGTCGAGGGATGACATAACAGAAATAAACAGTACAGTTGAGAGCACAGAGAATTTGCAGCTTTTTGGTCAGCAGAGGAGAATACCAAAACACAGAGAGAGAGACCACTTGTTGAAGAATGGAATATGATTTGGAACACACCCAA